TATTTTGATCTCAAAAAGGGTGAGTTTTCACAGAAAGGTGAGGAGTTTGCATCAATTGTTATTAAAGGCTGACATGTTCAGTGAATACCGAGATTGCCACATTTCTTGAGACTCACCTTTTTGCGCTTGTGGTTGTGGAGGTTCTGTTTGGTGGCGAGGGAGCGGATGGCGCCGACCCATGGCTCCTCCATGCGCTTGATCCGCAGCATCATCCAACGAAACTCCTCGCGCCATGACATCACGCGATACAGCTCGTCGAAACTCGTGCGGATCTCCGTCTGCACAAAAATAAACAAAGCAGTTTGCGTGAGTTGTATAGAGTGTGGCAGTTTGTGTAAATTTTGTCATATTCTGGAGACCAGTGTTGGGTAAGTTACTATAAAAAAGGAATTAATTGTTGGCGTTGATAGCTTTGCGGGCAGTGCGCCGACATACATTGCCATTGGCGCTACGGGCATCCCGAGTTCGAATCACAACTCAAAGAGGCGGTATCTTTCCCGCCCCCTCTCTCTCCCACTTCACTTCCTGTCAACTCTAAACTGTCCTATCATCATAAAGTCCAAAAAAAAGGAATTAATTACTAGTTACTAATTATACCTTCAACAGTGTACTTAGATTACTGTACTAATTACTCTCTCTAAAAAGTATTGCATTACTTCTTACTTTCTAAATTTAAGCAAGTTTATACTACTACTACTACTGTACTACTTTTTATGGATGTAGTTATGGGAGGTTTTTTCCCCCATAATCTGATGACTATTTTATCCACAAACTACAGTAATTTAATCTTAATGATGTGTAATCCAGCATCTACCCCTACAATTCATAATAAAAAGGATTATGAATATTTGTTACTAGGGATGCACCGATACCACTTTTTTTCAGAATGAGTCCGATACTGATACTTAAATTTTTTTGTACTCGCCGATACTGATACCTGTATTTTCACAGCATTTGTAATTTTTTTTCAATATTGGGTACAGAAACAAAATAATAATATGAATCATGTTAGTTGGCTTCATTTAACAAACAGATATTACCTTCGGTTATTTCCACTCCTAATTATACCTGTTAAAATGTACTGTATAATCTTTTGTTACTTTCACTGTTCATTTTAATGGCGCATTAGAGCTGCTCCATTGCAGCAGCTCAATACTGTAATCACAAAACGTTTTCCTAAAATAATGCAGGGAACCACTCGTTATACATTATATGAGTGCACGCTACTATTTTGGTGATGTAATTTGCGTCACGCGCAGTGTACACGGACCCTCGCGTACGAGTAAAAACCGAAAGTATACTTTGGCCTTAAAGCAAGCTAAACATACGCAGCTCGCACACGTTTGTATTGGTGCAGAATGAGAGAGACACAGTCACACAGTCTGCCAGTTTCACTTCTGCTTTAAAGGGGTCATATGATGCGATATCAATTATTCCTTTCTCTTTGGAGTGTTACAAGCTCTTGGTGCATAAAGAAGATCTGTAAAGTTGCAAAGACTAAAGTCCCAAATCCAAAGAGATATTCTTTATAAAAAGTTAAGAGTCAACCACGCCTACCTAAAACGGCTCATTCTAACATGCCTCCACATGTCTACGTCACGATGTGGGAAGATTTGCATAATGTCGCCCAAATGTTCATGCAAAGAAAGAAGGCGTGGTTTCAGTAACCGCAGTTAGTGTTGAAGCAGCCATGTCAGGGAGA